AGCATTGGACACAAGCCCTTATGCCTAACTCAGAGCCTACCTCCAATTGATAACCACTCACAAATGGAAAAATGGGCTTTCTCTAACTTTAGGGATACAAACCATTTTTAAGGGCAGGCCCCATGCTTAACACAAAACGAACTCAGTGGCATCTTTGGAGGTTCCTTGTCTCAAAATGCTTTGTCAAGGCTTTTTTTTTTTTTTTTTTTTTTGCTTACAGATCTTTTGCTTATATATTGCGGTTTTCGATTTCATCCTTCTATGGGATTCCAGTGTGTACAAATGTATCTCTGCATCTGTATGTGTTTCTTGTGCTTTTTCCTTGGCTCTGTTTCTCCTGTTGGTTTTGCCTTATTCTGGCTTGTTTGTTTTTGTTTTATCTTATTTTATTTCATCATTATTCTTTAGAAGCCTATTTCTTTTCTAAGGAGAAACAGAAAAGGTGGGGATTTGGGTGGGAGAGGGGGTGGAGAGGATCTCAGAGGAGTGAGGGAGGGGAAAAACCATAATCAGAATATATTGTGTGAAAAAAAACCCATTTTCAATAAAAAGAAAAGTAGGGAGGGGAAAGTAACTAAGACAGACACAAAGAACACTTTTTAATGAGATAGTGTCCCAAACCCAGCTCATGATGAAAGAAAGCATTAATTAGCAGATTAATGACATTGAATTTGTATTTGTTACAAAATCAACACGCGAGAGGAGAATACATACATCCCTATTAGAAAAGGTCAGTGGTTTGGTCTGGTTTGGATTGGTTTGGTTTTCTAGGCTCTGTAATGGAGGAAAGTCAAGTTCACAAATACACTGGATATTCCCTTCTCCCCACCTACCTCACGGCATTGAATGCAACCACATCTCAGAATCACGCCTCGCCACTCTCACACAAGAATCCCTGCTAGCCAGATCAAAAGTCATGTTTACGAAGTGAGCTGAAAGAAACGCGGCTGAGTTATTTCTTGCGAGGCTCTGCCATATGGCTTGTGTTTAAGCAAATGTGCTTTCTCGTCTTACGAAAATGAAACTGTAAGAAGGGCTCATTCGAACCCTCAGGGGAATTTCTTTCCCTGGGAGCACAAGGAAGGCATCAGGACCTTTGCAATCTGGACCCAAGGAAAGGGGGAAGCCTCCATACTAGGGGAGTCATCCTGCCCATGGTCCTTAGCATTGTATCCATACCAGTCTTCCCATAACCTTCTATAGAGCTCCCCACATGCTTTCATTTTTTTTCTGCCACTTCCTCTGAGACGGGATGCTGGATATCCCCCATTATCCAAGCTCAGATGGTACTCAACCGAAACAAAACTGGAACCTAACAAGGTCAGGGCAAAAGGAACCAACACAGCCGGACATTCATTGTCACCTTTCTCAGTCATTTATTTCAGCTATCCTGATCCTAAACTACATTTGTGAGAAGAAGTGAGGGATGATATAAATAACATAGGACCTTATTAGATCACAGCTCTGTGGGCTTACAGAATAAACACATCATCCTACAAATCTACTCGATGGGCCTTAAATCATCCGAGCACCATACTGCCTGCCCCTTGGCTTCCTCCCTCTTGGCTTTATCATGAGATAGTGTCCTGTTATAAGCCCAGTAGCAGCCTGTTCCAGAACGATTGGCTTCACAGTCTTTGTCACCCTGCTCCTTGGCCTGCCTGGGCCTCTGACCACAGGCTGTTGGAGAACCAAAGGTCAGGCAGGAGAGAAAATGACAGGTCATCAAGCATAGAGGTCATCCCTACTGTACTAAGGCTGGAAAGTCCTTTTCATGTTAGACAGATTCATGACCCGTGTACCCACTGATCCTCCCGGTGTGAGCAAAGCACATGACTCCCAGATGTGCAAAAAGAGCGTGTGTATCTGAATCAGGGCCCAGAACTCGGCTCTGGATAGTTTTCTCCTGTGTGACTCCTACACTAACCCACACGGCAGCTTTGCAAGAGCAAGAGACATGTTTAACCCAACAATAGCCTCGGGGCTGTGGGTACAGCTCGGTGGTTCTGCATTGGGGCCTGGCTTTAACCTCTAGACACAGTAATGTTTTTTGTGTAGTAAATGTTTAATAGGTAATTCCTAGGCAGATAGGTTCAATCCATGGGTTCTGCTGGGCCTCTCTTGTGGAAGCCTGCTGTGAAAAAGACTTCTGACCCACAAAGGGACACAATGATGCTCAGATTAGCTCGGCGCCTTGGGGAAGCATTTCAGCCCCATAAATCCCAGGGTTTCCGTCTATAATATGAAGGCAGGGGACTATCTGATGTCTACTGTCAGCTTACACATTTTAAATCTAGCTCCTGAAAATCAAATCAAGCCCACTTTCTCCAGGCCAGCAGGAATCATTCCCTCTGTGAAAGCTTCTTGATCAAAGGTAAGAAAATGTATCTTGGCAGTTAACCATCAGTAAGATGTTTATTTAATGAAAGCCACTCAGAGGACGCCTCCACTCTATTCCCTTGATTTTGTTGCACTCTGTTTTCAGGGAAAATAGAAATAGAGGAAATGTGTCTATGGAATGAGGACACATTCAGAATTTTATTATGTTTAATATATGCATACATCCATACATATATACATATATGTATAAATATACATATCCATATATATCCACATATTTGAAGGCGTGCGTGCGTGCGTGCGTGCGTGCGTGCGTGCGTGCGTGTGTGTCTGTGTCCCAGCCTTCAACAAAGAACACTGAGGTTTGAAACAATGGCTTTAGATGACTGAGATCCCTCAAATGTCAAGGGAAGATCTCATATTATATGAAAATAACTTATTTAAATTAGGAAGGTCTGTGATCGGGATGCAAGATGGCTCAGTGGGAAGAAAGAAAGAAAGAAAGAAAGAAAGAAAGAAAGAAAGAAAGAAAGAAAGAAAGAAAGAAAGAAAGAAAGAAA